TTCTCTACCTGGAATATCCTGCAAAGGGTTGGCATAAGTCAGAATTCACTTGTTGGCATCGCATAGAAGAAAGAGAGTCAGAGCACTCATCTTTAACTAGCTGGTGATGAAACAGGATTGAAACTTCTAGGTGTTAAACCATCAGTAACCTAATCTTGAATGGACAGACCTTTCAGTTTTGTTCGCGCACACATTAAAACAAACAAACAACCTCATTCCCCCCCCTCCCAAATATGAAGACACTCTTAGTTTTGGTAAATTCTTATAAAAAGCTAACTGAAATGAAATTCTTCCCCGTCCTTGAAAATGGTTCCCTAAAGCAATATGCATGGCCTTAATTCACTGAGTTGATTTATCCAAAGCTCTCAAGGGAGGGGGGAAACAATACCATTATTATTATTATCGGGTTTTAGACCAGCAACATCCTATCTGACTCATGGTGAACCTAATGGGGTTTTCAAGAAATGCAGGATATTTCAGGAGCGGTTTTACCAGTCCCTCTTTCTAGTGAGTTGCCACGGCTGAATGGGGATTTGAACCCTGTTCTCCTAAATCCCAATTTATCACCATATCCGCTAGAGCACACTGCCCCTGATACATAGCTGAGAACTATCTACAGTGTCGGTGGTGAAAATAGTTTTTTTTTAAAAAGGAGTGTTACTCTTTTCCCTGAACGAATGGCTCATAAACCAAGTTAAATCCATCAAATCTTTCTGATCAAAGCTCTTTTCATCACTCACCATTAATATCCTGCACACTTCCTTCTGTGCCTCGCATCCTAGAAGCCAAGTATGACTGGCCTGTGAGTCTTGCAGTGAGTGTAATGCACCATGAAGTTGGGACACTGCCAAACGAACATGTGAGGCATCATTGCTTAGTTAATTGGAACAGGCATGATGCTCTCCAACTAGCCGTAGGGAAGGAGGAGGAGGAGGAAGAGGCCAATCGGAGTCCAGTAGCTTACTGACATTTGCTTTTGGAATATAGCTATATAGCCATAATAGCTCAGTGGTTTAGGTCTCTGGCTGCTGAACCAGAGGTTGGGAGTTTGATTCCCCCACGGTGCCTCCTTAACAAGGGCTGGACTTTGCGATCCATCGGGTGCCTTCCAGCTCTGCAGTTCTACGAGTAAAAGCATCAAAACACAGTCAGGAAACGTTATTATTCATCCGTATCAGTTCTGTGATACTCACTCTTTACTGCTGCTCAAATACCTTCACACTTAAGAGTTAACTTTATCCTGTCCTTTAAAAAACAACAACATAATTTTACACTTTTTGTCATTTTGAGCAAAATCAAAACAGCAACAGATGGTCTCTATGTCTTGATTTATGTCAAGATTCATACAAATAGCAATGACAGGGGGAGATGCCCTAATTGTGCCTATACTCCCAAAGTGAGGCAGCGCATCGGCATACACGTTGTGTATCTCTGTAAAAGGCACAGGGACATTTGTGCTATTTTGCACAACTGAAATATTTGCAATGACTTGCCGTAATCTCATCAAGTGGTGATGCCATAAAAACATGACAATACGTACATGGGATGATGTTGCGAATGCTTCCAGCAGACAGATGTTATTCCTGCCAAGTTTTTAGAGTTACCATAGGTTACTCAGCAATAGGGGTGCACATCCTTGGTTGAGAAGCCGACAAGGAGTGCTGGTCCCAAAAAGTTGGTCTGCTCTTACAAAAAGTGGGGAGAGATTCCTGTTGACATTAATGTGGCCCCCACAGCTTGATTTCCCAGTGAATACTGCACAGAATTTATTACATGCAGTTTCTCTGTGTGTGTATGTCTGAAAGAAGTCAACATTCTACTGGTGTCCGTGTAAGGCTGGCATAACTTGCCATGTATGTGTGTGTGTGTCAGCATTTCCCTTTCTGAAACTGTGTGTGTGTGTAGCAGCATTTCCCTTTCTGAAACTGAAAACACACATACGTATAGCAGGCACAAAACAGCAGCTTGATGGCTCACAAACAGAAGGAAAAACCATCCACCGCTTCTACATCTTAATAACCCATGCAACAAGAGGGCATTATTATAGTTTTTAAAAATCTGTGCAGTTACAGAAATGCAAAAGAAAAAGAAACCACCACCCAAACCTGATCCCACAAATGCATAAATTCTCTAAGACAAAAGAATTGATCACAATCTCTTGAAAAGGAAAGCATATTTTTTATTTATGATTAATTAATTAATTTTTGCTTTCTAGCGTAGCTCACTAGGTCAAGACCTGCATACCTCCTTATCACAGAGGATGACAAATACAGAGACGAATGGCCATTTAACATGGCCCCCTTTCCAGTCCACGTGTAAACCAGGGATATGGTTTTCTCACCTAATTCCTTTCAAAAATAATCTTTACATTTCAATCAAGGCAACTGACACACAACCTGCTCTTGGACTGACTCTCAGTTTGCTGAGGAGTGGCTATGGATCAAATACTGTTAACGAGAGAAATTGATCACTGTGTAATTAGTGCCAGTGGACACATGTAGCAGCTATGAAAGAACTCAATTAAGCATGCTGACAGCGGGAACTTAAATGATCCAGACAACAAAAATCCTCCTTTGAGACATTGATTAAAAGTCTCCTTGGTTTGGAGAGGGGTGTTTGTGGACAGCGGTCTCTACATTTCCAAGTCAGGCTCTTCCCTAAACCCCTGCCACATGGCGGAAAGCTCTCAATTTTCCCATGGAATGAGTTGAACAGAAATACCACATGATATCCAGAGTGGAAGATCAGGTGGTGATTTTATTAAGTCACTTCCAACTTGTGCAATCCTCAATAATGGCTGAAATCTGGCACTAAGTCACAACTAGAGTCGACAAGGATTTGATGAGTCAATTTCTCCGTAAATTCCATTGATTCAATGGGTTTACTCCAGCTGTGACTTAGTCCTGGATCTCAGCCAGTGTTTTCAAAGTATGTGAGATGTTCAGCAGACATTGGCTATTGCCACCTTCCAGCAGCAATGGTAAACCTCCCATGAGGATCTGAACCCAGGTCTCCTGAGACCTAGTCACATACTCTGTCCACTACAACACACCAGCTCTCTAAAAATCAGGTAGCTACCATCCTAGGGAAATGTGCTACTTAATATCTCATCGTCTGAGGAAGTGGACTCATCCATGAAAGCTCACATTAGAGTTAGTCTTTAAGGTGCCACAACATTTTTGTCATCTTTATTGTTTTAATTCTCTTTTGGCTTGAGCTTAATATTTCATAGGTAACCCAATTCCAGAAAGCAGACAGGAAATCTGCACAGGATAAATAAGCATGCCATGATGTCTTGGCAGAAAATTAAGGGTTGAACTTGTGAATAAGCAAGCTTCTCTGAGAACGCCTTTCTAGGCTTTAAAAAAAATAATTCTAAAACATAGCAGCACGAAATGTAATAACTACATTATAGGATCTGTGAAAATATACTCCGGTGAACTTCTCCATGAAGATTTTCTCAAAGCAGGATGTATATTGTACATTCTGAACATCTTATATTACTATGTGCAGATACAGTCAACAAAATACACACTTTTGAAAGAACATATAGGAAAACCTACAAATCTAGAGTATGAATAAAAACTTGACAAAAGGGTGATTCAGTCAAAGGGGGTGTCTGGGCAATGAACAGCTAGATAGTTCAGTGGTTTAAGTATCTGGTTGGGTTCCCCACGGCCTCCTTGACAAGGGCTGGATTCCCTGACCCATAGGAGTAGGCAGCGCACCTGTCAAAAGCGATTTTGATGAGGGCTAGGTGTTCTTACTACTCATAGGGTCCCTTCCAGCTCTGCAGTTCAAAGATTATTGTTGTTATTATTATTGCTGCTGTTGTTTGTCAGAAATGTTTGTGTGCCAGATAACTGCCAGGGCTCTCAGGCCAGTTTACATGTCTAGCTATGAAAGCAATCAATAAAATATTTTTGCAACAAAACAAGTAAATAATATAGAATATTAAACACACAGGTTATTAGCAATGTTTTTTTTAAAAAAATTCTGAACTACAAATACCATAGTCTGCCATTTGAGAACAACTCAATGTGGCTCACCGGGAAACTTAGTAGGCTTTGAGGTTTAACTAGGCTAAGTTCAATTGTAAATGCCTTACTCTCATTTGAGAGAATATTTACAATATTATATGGCGGGTCTAGGCATGATATAAACAATGAGAGACTTCCATGGTATCTATCCTTTTTTTTTCCCCTTTAGTTTTGACAACCCATTGTCAAAAAAAAACCCTTTTAATTAGAGTATGAAATCACACTAAAGTAGGCCCATTGAATCAATGGGGAGGTAGGGAGTCAACTCCCCGAGAACAACTCAATGTGGCTCACCGGGAAAGCCAAACTTAGTAGGCTTTGAGGTTTAACTAGGCTAAGTTCAATTGTAAATTGACTTGTAAAGACATTGAATCAATGGGGAGGTAGGGAGTCAACTCCCCTTAAGTTCCATTGATTCAAATGGGCCTACTCTAACTGCAACTTAGCTAAACTGCAACTGCGTTAAAGGCAACAATAGCCTTCTTGTAAATTGACTTGTAAAGATGCCTGTGTAATCCTACTCCTTATAAAATTCATCCCAACTGGTGTGCAAGTGTGGAAATGTAAAATCGGGATGGGATGATGTTAACGTCTACAAATGTCAGACTGGCAACACAGTTTTGCAAGCTTTACTAGTCCAGTCTAGGGAGGAAGTCTCCTTGTGTGTAAGAGGTGTCATCCTTGAGTAATTAAGTTTTTCTCGATTAGGGAATGAAACTGTAGAAAAAAAGTTGGGTTTGAAAAAAATTATTCCTAACTTTGAGAGTTGCAATTTCAACCATATCTTTTTCTTTATTTTTGTTTGTTTGTCTTTTGGAACTAAATGTATGCTGACAGGCAATGTACTGTATATGATCAGGAATTGGGGAAAAAACTATTTAAATTTTGAAATCTAAGGATGCATTGTGTCTGCTGTTAAAAATCACATTATTAATGATTTAATTTTTGTTTTTCCTACAGGATCTGAAGTTCCAATTAAAACTGTGTTTGGACCATTGCTTTATTGCCTGCCCATACTTAATCTCTCTTGAAAGCACCATCATTTATCTGAAGCAAAAGAAGAACAAGGTAAGGACAGAAAGTAATGGAATGCAGCATAACACATCTGTCAAACAAGCTTGAAGTAGCTCGGAAAGAATAATAATAATAATAAAGAATTCAAGATCAGTGACATTAAGAAATTATGTGTTGTGCTTCTGAACGTATGCATGAGCTGCATCTTAATTCTTAAAATCTGGAGTCTAATACAGTGATCCTCCTCTCCACCATGTCTTTGAATTTTGGATTTGATACTGAGGTATTCATAAGGGACCAGAGAGTAGGGTTTGATCCTTGCCACATGTTGATGGCAGAGAGGTAGGTTTGTTTCCCTAGAGTTTCTGAGGTGATTGGCAGAGAGACCAGTTGTCTTACTTGGGTTGAGGCTGTGTCAAGGTGCTTTGCCTTGCCAACTGAAACATTGGTGGAATAATCACACAGTGAGGCTTAGCAAGGGTGGGGGGAAAGGGGTCAAAGTGCTGCAGGATCGCTTTGATCCCTGCTTTCCGCTCCACTTGTTTTTGTTCTCTCCTCAGCTTACTTCCGTGTATAAGACAACCCTCAATTTTTAGTTTAAAGATTTTAGACAAAATATAGTCTTATACACGGAAAAATACGGTATGTTCTTTAGTATTTTCCTACAGAAATTATAGGTGTGGAAAGTGTTTTGCCGACATTATTTCTGAGTAGAAAGATCACCTGTTGCTTTTTGGAACTGCAAAAGGCAGGATGCTCTTAACCTGTTCGAACATGACATGGAGTTAAGTCTGCAACTCTGCTAGGGGGAGAAAACTGAATTTTCACAGGGTTTTCCTACCATTTTCACTTCACTTTGGTTGCATTTCTTATGTGAGGCAAAATGTGGTCAGAATATGAGTCAATGGTGGTAGAAAGTGGGAGATTTAAATGAAACAGGTATACATCCCCCCCTCTCTCACACACACAAACACAAATAGAGACACAATCCTGCAGTTGCGAATAAAATGTGTGGCGTTCTCAGTGTTTCTGGAGTGCAGCCCAGAATTTTCTAGCGGGGATCCCTCTTGTTCTGATCGTGGCTTCTCTGTGGTACAAAATCTGGAGCGCCATTCATTCCCAGTGTCTGCCAGACGCATTTACTTTGTTCAGAAGTTTGGGCGAAAGGCATTTGAAGTTTAAAGGAAAAACTCTGTGATTTACTTTAGTTAGACAATACCCAGTTGCTTTTCATAAAGGAATGAATTAATCGTGTTGATAAGAGAAGATGAATCACTTTGTGATTCTTCCCTGGACCTGAATTATTCATAACTTAAGTAAGGCTTTCTAGTGTGGACGTTGCATCTCATTCTGGATAGCTTATGTTTTACTGTTAATTATTGGGCCTCTTGTACAGAATATGTTCAAATTGCAAGAAATATTGAGTAGTTTATATCCTGTACAGTGTTTTTTTTAAAAAAAAACACTATACAAGTAAAGTATAAGTAAATGATATTTTCCTTTTAATCCCGATCCAGTACACCACACTCAGTGCCACAATTCAAGTAACTTTAAGTGAGTAGTAATAAAACAGCCTTAAATTAAGTAAATGATATTTTCCTTTTAATCTGTGATAGAATTTCCTCCCCCCGTTCTAAAGGCTGGCTGCAGAATGCAGTGGAGGTGAGGTCAAAACTCCACTTTTTTTGCTGGGTGTGGCCTTCTAACCCTCCACTCTGATGCTCTCCAGATGAGTTGCCCTGGAGCTTTGTTGATCCTTTCACAGAGTTATAGGACTTGTAGTCCAACATACCTAAAAGGTAATGCATTGGGAAACGACGTTCACTAAGTCCAGTAGATAAATTGCTCCCCATGCATGCACGCGTGTGTGCCACCCCTTAAGATGTGATCATTGTGACTCCCTCCCTTCAATTGCAAAGATCAGTCCTTTGGAGAAGTATCTGTCCATGGTAGCTACTTGATTTTGCATTTATTTCGCTTGTGACCTACCCCGATTGGCGTTGGATGTCCTTGTATTAGAATGCTCACCTTTTAAATAGTACTTTGTTGCAGTTGCTGTTTTATGCCGTCAAGTTGAAACCGACTTATAGCAATCCTGACAGGTTTTTCAAGGCAAAAGAGGTGTTTAAGGAGTGACATTATCAATTGCATACCCCCAGTGAGTTTTCATGGCTGAGCAGGGATTCGAACCCAGGAAACATGAGTCCTAGTCTATCACCCCATCCAGTATACTACATTCAGTGCCACAATGCAAGTTAAATTTAAATGAGTAGTAATAAAAAGTTTCTTAAATTAATAGTAATAGGAAAAAAAAAACCCAGGGAGAGAAGATTATACTAACTTGCCTGGTCTGAAAGTTGAGAAGGTTTTTTTTCCCCCTCCCTTTTTTTAATTGACAAAGAGACAAAAACGTTTCGACCGATTTTAAACCCGAGATATGGATCAATTAACGGAGAAGCTTTGAAATGCAGTTAGATGAAATATGGTTTGAAGCAGTTCTCAAATGTCGAAAATATCAAGATGTACTTTCAAATCCTATCAAGTGACATTCATTTCACCTTTATTTAGAATTTTGTACTGTACATGGAACCTGCTTGCTGGGCTCTTATGCAATGCAAATTATTTGCTGTTTCCAAAGAGCAGTTATTTGAGGCTTTTTATTTCATTATATGAAGTTGTTGTTGTTGTTGTTGTTGTTGTTGCTGCTGCTGCTGCTGCTGTTGCTGTTGTTGTTGCTGTTGTTGTTGTTTTCAAAAATACCAATCAGTAAATAAAAATAAACATTGACTTGACACACACACACACACACACACACACACATCAGCAAATTTTGGGAAAAATTGACTATTGTGTAAATATTGCCAGTAGAATATGTTATTACAGTTCATCTTAGGGAAGATCATTCTGGAATTCCCTTGCTGTCTATCGAATAATTACCTGCCTTGTGGAGAATTTAGCTGTTAGATTATTTGAAGGTATTCTTAAAATTCTTAAAAATTCTGATATATGTCACTTGAAGATCAAAGATTTAACCATGCATTCACTGAAATTTGCACTGCAAATATTCCCACTGGGATAGAGAAAAAAGACTCAGGGCAACCAAGATTCTCTTATCCATACTCAGATTCTGAATCTCATATGGCAGAGATGGGGGAGAGGGCCTTCTTTAACCCCGGGTGAACAACTGCCTGTCCTTCTGGTGGTCAGGATGTTGCCTTATAGAGAGGGTCATTCTAGATTCTGCCTGTGCAGTAGTACTTTTGGCTTTGATATTTGGTTAGTCTACATACTGAAAGGACTTTCAGTTGCTACAAAAGTTTCAGTTGTACATCATGTTTTCCTTCCTTGGAGATGGGCACACAGTAGTACTTTTGGCTTTGATATTTGGTTAGTCTACATACTGAAAGGACTTTCAGTTGCTACAAAAGTTTCAGTTGTACATCTACTGTGTATTTATACTGGAGATGGGCACGAACCAGCAGTTCGGTGGTTTGTGCCGGTTCGGCAGGTGGCTCAACAGGTGTTCCGCCCCTTCCCACTCAGAGGCAGCACCCAGAGGAGGCATGGCAGGGAAGCCAGGATGCTGCTTATGAGTGGGCGCCCATCAAAAGGGGTGGGACGTTGAACTGTGAAACACCTATTCGTCCATCCACCAAATGTTCGTGCGGTTTGTGCCCATCTCTAATTTATACATTTACTATTATATGTCTGTTTACTTTGCCTTGTTATGAATCTCCCAAATTAGTGCATATGCACTAATGGGGTGGTGTATAAATCAGCTAGCTAGATCGATTGATTGATCGTTCGAGAGATAGATTGTAGATCAACATGTCAAAGAAATAATACTTCCATAGTAAGATTGACTATGATTTCTTCACATAAATAGAAGCCCTGTTCAAGCCCTATTCCATCGCTACTACTTTATCCAGCTTTGTCTATTGAACTGTGACTGAAACTGTGAATGGATGAGGTTCCAGGACATACCTTGATGAGATGTTTGATCACACCTCCAAGTCCCCAACTGCAAACGCATCAGTTAGCCACAATTAACTGTATCAAGTTGTACCAACTTTACACAAAGACCACTGCATTGAAGGTGTTTTGGTGTTGCCTGTGTTTTCTGGCGCCGTTTTCATTTCGTCCTTTTAGTATTGCATCCTCATTGTTACTAACTTCAATACCATCTTTTAATTGCTGTAAGCCCCTTTGAGTCATTTTTAAGGAGACAGGTGGATTTAAAATATTTTAAATAGATAAATAAGTGCATAACTCAAGCAAAAAGTGCAAACGTATTTAGGTAAAATGTAAAATTAAATGGCACCAAAAATGACAACTACCTTCTTGTTGAAACAAAACAAAAGTCTCACAATCCATGGTGAGCAACTGTAAGAGAAAGCAAGCGGGATGCAGAGAAAACTTGGTGAGTCATCACTGTGAGATTTTCCTACCACTGCTGAATGCTCTCACTTGCCTGTATTTTATAGAAATCTGAACGGTTAGTAGAAAATGTTCTTTACTGCTGTTCCTTACTGTCCTGAGTACCAAATTACTTTGAAATCTTTTAGAACACAGCAAACAGTATGGTGCAGCTCTTAATTTAATTCATGAACATTTATTTGGACTTTTATCTGAACTGGATGAAAGACGGCTCATTTAAGCACTCTCTATTTTTGCACCTAACTGGTCCCTTAGCTTATAATTCTGGTGAGAAAGTTTGGATCTATGTTCTTTGTTGCTTCTTACCCGCTCCGCTCCCATTTCATTTCAGTACAATGCAGAAATTCTGCCTCCAGATCTTAATACCAGAGGATTCCAGCTGTTTTGATATGCATTCAGTATTTCTGTTCCTTTATTAAAACATGAACAAGCCAGTCTTTTAAAATGTAATGATGTCAATTAGACATTCCTAAGAAATGAGAACAAATACCATTAACCTTGTCATTTTTCATTAAAATATATTTTTCTTTGTAATTTATTTCAGCTGCCATAAGCTTATACCTTTCCTTACAATCACTGTTGATTGATTCATTAGTAGGTGTTGGATTACATATTTA